GAGAGCCACACTCCAGGCGGAGCCATTAGCAGCCAGAGGAGCGATCTGGAAACTAATGGAGGGGAAATGATGGGGAGGCGGGCATATCCCCGCTTAACACCCCTGTCCCCGTTCACCCATTAGGAGCACTGTCCCTTTGCAACTTAAAAGACTTTTTTGGGAGTGATTGGCCAGCACTGAAGATGCCTTATTTGATACAAACTGGTTTCCCAAAGGGAGTTAACTAAGCAGCAAAAACAGTAGTGCCCCCACATATGGTAACCAGAAGGGAGGGAATTGTGACAGGTGCCATCAGGCACCTGTTTTCCAAGGCCAAATTCTTCCAGATGTTACCCATAAAAGAGGAATTTAAAATATTAGAGTGTAACCTGTGTGAGAGTGTGTTCCCTCTCGTTCTCCAAAGCCCTTGGGTTAGGTTTGGGAGCAAAAGCCATTTGCCCCATATTTAGGGAAGACATTCAAAGACGCTGAGCCCCAGGACTCACTCAGACCCGCCAAATACAGGTGTGATTGTGTGCTGTGCAGCACTCAGCATGGAGCAAACCTTGTGTGGCGCTACTGATTGGAACGGATGGAGGAAGAGGGTTGCCCCATGCTGTGCTCATCCCAGCGCTGCACAGTGGGTCCGGAACAGTGCCTGATCCTGCATAACAGAACCACAGTCCTGTCGAGGGTTTCAGTGAAGCCTGGAGGAAGAATGAGGCAGCCGTGTCATTTAGTGCTACCACACTGTGGTTAGGGTTCATGGCTCGGCCAGCCCCAGACAGGAGCAAGGGCTATAACACTTGGCTTTCTATCCGAATGAATTTACTGAGAACCATTCCTCAGAAATAATCAGTTTCATCATGTAATTCCCTCTTCCCCATAGAAAGGGCACTCTTGCTTGTGTTCTGTGTTGCCATGTCAGAACCAACGTACAACTAACAGAGCTTTCAGGGTGAGATATTTAAGGAGTGATCTTGCCCGTTTCACTCCCCCAGCGAGTTTTCATGGCCAAGTGGGGATTCGAACCCTGTTCTCCAGAGTCCTTGTCCATCACTCTATCCACTACACCACACTAGGAATTGCTCTTGCTTGCTGTCCCCTTAAGACATATGTTTCACAAACGTCCTTGCCCAGCTTGACTCCACCTCCAGTAATCACCTGGTGATTTATTCCTCTGGCATCTGAAAGTGTGCACTTGAGAAAGAGGTGAAGGTTTGACTGTCTCTACACAATTGCAGAGGGACAGCCCCTCTAAAGGTATAGTCACGCAGGGAGAATATTGGAGGCCATCTGGGATAGAGCTTCCAAGAACTTCCACCATTAGATTTTGCTGAGAGAAAGAATTTTTAAAAAACCTCCAGAAATAATTTATAGTTGTCAAACAAAGCTGATCTGGTTTATTTCAAATATTTGCATATTGCTGTTAATCTCCAGAACTACAACCCCGTTTTGAGAACTGCACATTTTTTTTTCTGACAGTAGCCACCAAATTGATACCCAGAGTGGTGTAGCGGATGGAGTAGGATGCAGGAGAACCAAGTGTCAACTCCACTTGACCAAGAAACTGACAGGGGAGGGTAAGATTGGTAAAACTCCTCCTTCAGTATGTCACTTACCTTGAAAGACCTATTAGGATCGCTATAAGCCAGTTCTAATTTGCTAAACATCAAAGACATAATACATCTATTGAATTGAATACTGGGGGGACATAGAAAGATTAATCCAAATCATTTATATAGAATCTCATGTCATCGAAGCCTGAGTTGGATAAATGTTCAACTATGTTGCAGAATATTTTGTAACTTTTTAAATACATGGTATTTATAAATACAATGTATAAAACTGTGTAAATACATTGCCTTATAAAACAGAATCAGATTTTGTAACCCTTATTTCGTAACTGAGCTCTTTGAGCTGAAATACTTTTTAAATTAAGATTATTATCCCATAGTCAGCCATGATTGACTTATAGCAAGCCTAATAGGGCTTTTAAGGTAAGTGAGATACTCAGGGAGTGCTCTTACCAGTCCCACTCCCCCAATGAGCTTCCGTGGCTGATCAGGGATTCAAACTCTAGTGTCCTGCTGTTCCACATCCTCCATACAAAGCACGTTACCATAGTCTCTCGAGATTGAAGGATGCCTACACAGGGTCCTAGTGCATCACTCTGTCCAATACACCACACTGGGTACCCCAAAATAGAGAACATTTCATCCTCCCTGATTATCTCTAAGGAGGGAAATCCATGTAGGGCCTAACAGCAGTACATCTTCTAGGAATGAGAGAGGAAAGCATGGATTTTCCGCTCCCTCCTGTGTTCCAGAACTTCTTTGTTCACACGTAGTCTCAGTCTACAACTAAAGGGAAAGATTGCGCAGCCTGAGTGAATATGCTTCTTCTTGCCATGAATGAGGAAGGCCTCAAGTATGAGGGAATGACCTATACAGCCACCACGAGTGGGTGGATCAGGTTGAGCTGCTTTGATTCCTAGTAAAAGTCACACTCCACTTTGTGATGCAGCTCCCTCATAGCCTGTGTAATACTGGGAATACAGATGCAAGATTCTCATACTTATTCTTGCAGTTCTGAATCTCCACTAAGAATTTAACATCTGAAATGGTATGGAGATGTAGAGATCTCCCTTTCAGGTGATCAGAGGCTGCTGGGCTCAGGTGTTCTAAAAGGGAATCAAATGCTTTTATTTGTTATTATTGTATTACTGTTGCATTTTTTCTCCTTCACTGTGCCCACGGAGAAGCCCTTGTGGGAGAATATGTCTCTGGTGCTCTACAGTATGGCTGGCCTTGGGTTTTATGCCTAGGGGTCGAGACAGGGCAGCCTCAAGCAACACAATGACTGGAATTCTGTTGCTCACATTAGGTTTGTGAATCAGTGGAGGTTTAGTGAGTCAACTCCTCCGTAAGTTCCATTGATTCAATGGGCCTACTTTAGTTGCAACTTACTATGCTAAGAAACTGGATTTCACTCCTTATCCTGGGTTGATCCCGGGTGCGACACATCATCTCCAGAAGTCATTTCAACCACATGGGATTCTTTGCTGGGAACATTAGGCTTCTTGAGTTCTAGAACTGGAGGGCATCCCCACCCCTTGCCAAAGCAGGACATGTGCATCCCTGACAGGTGGCTATCTAACCTTCTGATTAAAAACCTTCAATGACAGAGAGTCCCCCCCCCACCTCTGATGCTCTCTATTCCATTGCTGAGCCGCTCCTGTTGCCTTATTAATGAACCCCTTTATTACATATAAGCAAAGACTTAAACATACAAGTTGTTCCTTGTTGAAACCTGTGCTTGCCTCTTGGCAGATGACTGCATGGTTCCATCACTTTAAAAGGTAAATTTAAAAATGTATATTTAAAGAGAAAATGGAAGGGACTGATCCTGCCACAGTCACCCTTAGCATGGCTTATTGTGAAACATTTCAAAACTATTTGTTGCAAGTATGTGCCTGTGCCTTTGGATTGAAATGGGAGTGTAATTTTGTCTCATGTGGTTGTTGATCTGTTTGTTTTTAAGGCAGAAGATATTCAAGGTTACATTTTGGTACTTTCAAAGGTTCGTCCTATGAGAAGAACAGCCAATTACAGCAGTATATTCTAGATTACTCCTTACGGGAGCACCCTATCCTAAAGAAGTTGAGATTGGTTAGTATGCATTTTACTGATGTTTTTAAAAACATTCTTTTAGAATCTGCCTTGCATTTCACAGACACCTGGATATGAGATTCAGACTATACAAAACAGCAGCTTCACAGTTAGAAGCGGAGATTCCTTAAGAGGTAAAGGATGTTTGATTGTCCCAATGAAAGGTTACCACAGGTCTGCAATTTGCAGTTCCATTTGCATTTGATTGGTAATTGCTGATCTGGGAGGTAACAATAAGTTTTGTTTGCAAGCTGGTTCCTCAGACACAGGCATTTTGAATGAACATTGTTCTGGACAGATGGCATTTTTATAACTTCGTAATTAGAAAGGTGACATCTCATATCATTCGCCCTTTAATTTCATCTTCATTGTTTATGGCATGTGGCATCTACTTACAAAATATGAAGTAGAGACCTTCTAGAATATATTTTAAAAAGGTTTTATTGCATATTTGCTTCTCATTCTTACTATTGCTTAACATGTAATGCAGCCCAAACTGAGTTTGGTGTTGGATATTGGGTAAGGAACCAGATCAGTCACAATTTCAGGTAAGAATCTTGAGGGGGAAAAAGGTTATAAAATAACAATATAAAACAAAGAAATGAAAAGCCTTGCACCAATAAAAAGAAAATGCAACAAAGATGGTGCTAGGTGAATTCAACATGAATTTGACCAAACTCCGGGAGGCAGTGGAAGACAGGAGGGCCTGGCATGCTCTGGCCCATGGGGTCACGAAGAGTCAGACACGACAAAACGACTAAACAGCAACAGGTGAATTCCAATTCCAAAGGAATTGTGACGACTGGGGGCCACCAATGAAAAGGCCCATCTCTGAAAACTACCTGGCTTACTTCCGTTGGTCAGAGAGGGGCCTTGGAGGCCTGGTTGTCAACTGGTTGTCAACTTCCGTTGTTTGGTCTCAGCATGATTTGGGCACTAGAGGTTAATACAGGCACTTTGAATTCTGTTTAGAAATAGCTTAGTCTCTTGAATAACTGTTTCAAAACAAGTGAGGTATGTTCCTTGTTCAATCAACAGCTAATAAACATGGCTTGCAGTTTTCCCTAGTTGTAATTTCTCAGTTCTCCAAAGCTAACCCCAGATAAAACACACTGCAGTAGCACAACAAGGTGATAGCCAGGGGCCTGGAATGTTGCGGTTAGGTGGTCTCTACTTAGAAGGAGTCTGGCTGCTGGATGTGCTTTGTGGGATAGAGCTTGCTTACCTAAAGTTGAGTTCATCAGCTTCTCCAGTAGTAATATTGCTCTTTCATGTGCCATGTGAGAGACTTAGACACCAGTCAGAGCCCAGACAAATCCAGCCAGTCACAGTACCTTCTGCCGACCTGCGCTGAGATTCAGCTTTTGGGGTTTATAACTAGGGCAGACATCTTTCTGATGAGAATTTGCTTAAGAGCAGTCTGTAAGATTATTCCTCTTTGGCACCAGCATCATCACAGCTGAAGTAAAGTTACTCTCAGTGCTCCGACTCCTGAGGGGTGTAGGAAAGCTAGAGGGCCTTAACTCAGTGGTTTCCAACCTTTGGTTCTCTGGCGTTCTTGGACTAAAACTTCCAGAAACCTTCACCACTAGCTGTGTGTGCAAGGATTTCTGGGAGCTGTAGTCCAAAAACATCTGGAGGCCCAAGGTTGGGGACCACTGGCCTTACTGAACTCCATGGCCTTCGCCACAAACCCTCCTTCCCAGATCTTTTTAACCATACCGTCGAGAGCTCTCTATAATTCAAACACTGGCTGAAATCCTGTTGCATAACAGTAAATTTACTACAGTAGGCCCATTGAATCAGTGGGGCTTATTAAGGAGTTGACTCACCAAATCAGCAGTTATTCAGTGGGCTGACTCTTATGTGCCTCAGTGTGCTAAGCAACAGGATTTCAGCCTGTGTCTAGTTCCCACTGAGGTAGTAAACCTGTTCCTGGGCTGTACCAGTTTGAAATGCAGATGGAGGCAAACAGGATCAAATGATCCTATGTACGTAAGAAGTCCTGCACATCAAAGCTGAAGCGCAAGAGGTTCTTTCTACCTAATGTGCTCGTTTCGTATTGTACAGCCATTTTGTCCTCCTTTTCTGAGACAGCTGTGTGTGAGCTGACACACACACAAAACACACCCACCTCTTATCTGAACTGGTAAATCTCAGGTTTGCCATCTGACTGAGAATTGACCTGTCCCTTTCTATTCCGTTGCAGGTGCTGTAAACTTGCTGAAGCCACCATTCTAAATTTAGTCAGGAGTAGGACCTGGTCAACACAACACAATTCATAGGCAAACATCTGCAGGGTTGCACGCATTAGTTAAATCCGAAGAGTTTTGCCACCCACTGGCCCCTTCTGATACAGTGGTGCCTCGCTTAGCGATTGCTCCGTTTAACAATGTATTCACTTAACGATGGGTTTTTAAAAGAATTTTCCGCATCGTTTAACGATGTTTCCTATGGGCGATTTTCGCTTAGCGATTTCGGGACCATGCTTCGCATAGCAAATGCATTTTGGGTCCCCTGTTTCGCTTAACGATGTCCATTTTTGCAATTTTAAAAGTGTCTTAAAATGTTCAAAACTGTTTTAAATGCTAGGAATCATTAGTGCACCTTCTAAAACATGTGCAAATGTAATCTGGCTTTGTTCTGAGTCTTCGTTAATTTTTGGTGAATTTTTTTCTCCCCCATTGGAATGTATTGAACCGATTTTGACAGCTGTCAAACGGGCACTTCAATGCATTCCAATGGGGAGAAAAAAATTCACCACAAATTAACGAAGAGTCAGAAACTGTTTTAAATGCTTGGATTCGTTAGAGCACCTTGTAAAACGTGTGCAGACTTAATTTGGCTTTGTTCTGACTCTTCGTTAATTTTTGGCAAAGTTTTCCCCCCGATTGAAATGCATTGAACCCAATTTTGACAGCTGCATTCAATGCATTCCAATGGGGGGGGGAATTCATAGACTAAAGTTGCCTATTATATGCATGTCACAAATTTCATTTTTTTAATTGCTATGGCATCATGAAAGCAATTAAATGGATAGATGTTGAACTGACTGTTCATTCTGTGCTTAAGCCTCCAAGACAGCAATAACATTTTCTCCTGTCCATAAAATAAGACCCCTCTAGGATATATTATTCTATAATGAATGGAAACCTACAGCAAACAGCTCAGTTCTGAATGTAGTAGCGGCTGTATACCCATTTGTATCAAGCTGAAGATCAGTGCAACACAGAGAAGTAGAGCTGTCTCCATGCTGCAGGCCTTTCTGCCTAGGCATGCCTCTGAGCTTCTTCTGGAACCCATCCCTGAGATAGTAATTGTGGTTGCATGATTTGTGATTAATCTCCCTTTGCCATCATCTGATAAAGTGGTTTTTTTCCTGGCACTCCTATCCAGCAAGTGTAGTTTTGCCATGGCCGAGACAGCAGCTACAAGCCTGTGCAGGTGTGTTCGAAAGTATGTGTCGTTATCCTCAGATAAACTTACATAGCTTTGAAAACTGAAATTGCAATAGCAAAAATGCTGAGGGATGAGTAACTATTGGGTACCCACTGTGGTGTTGTGGGCAGAGTAATGGACTAGGACTCAGGAAACCTGGGTTTGCCGCCAAAATCACTTATGCTGGCCCTGGAATATGCAATGTAACTATAATTCATCACGAGTGCACATTACTCCACCATCACCTAAAACAAACAAACAAACAAACAAAACAGCACTACTGAGAACTTTAAGGGATACATAGCTGGCTGAAGAGCAGCATTAACATTTTGGCCTCTTTTTCTAGATTACATCACAATGTCGTCATGGCTTTATGATGGTGTCTTGTGATGAGGCCCAGCTTCTGGCAAACCTGGCAAAGCTGATCAGAGCAAAGAAAGCAATTGAAGTTGGTATGTAAGCCTCTCACCCTCAGCCTGGGCTCCAGGAATGTAGAATGTGGATCCAGATGCATCACCAGAGGCAGAGTGAGGGGAGAAAAGGAGGAAGCAGAGTGCCTGTTCATGTTCTAGTCGTTACTCCTTGGTGCCTGTGTGTTAATTGGCTCTACAAGGTCTAGAACATCTTAATCCACAGCTTGTGGGGTGTAGTGGGTGGATAGGGAACTCAGAGAGGCCTGGGTTTAGATCCCCACTTGACTGTGAAGATCACTAGGTGATGTGAGGGAAAAGTAAGAAGGGAGTGGAACATACTGTATATAGTGTCTAAATAAGAAATCAGTCCTTCCCACACTGCAGACTGAAGCAGAAAACTAAATATGACTAATTCTTTAAAGAATTAACTCCAGTAATAGGCTCTAACTACATCGCTGGTTGTATTTTAATCATAGGACGGGCATGGTGGGCTAAATGAGAAGGAAAAATGTGTGAAGTCGTGGGGTGGTGTTTGTTTGGAAACACCAGGTGCGTGTCAACCCTCTTAGCTGTAATTGAGGTCTTGTTGGCGACGTGCCTTCTCTCATCGTTTCTGTCTTAATCCAAATTAATACAGAAGAATACCTGGGAATTATGTTAGTCTAAACACAAATCTACATACTTCATCTGTTACCTTAACCCAGAGTCTGAAATCAACATACTTTCAGATGAATAAAATTTCCCTATTAGCTATCAGTCAGGCTTGTGGAGATACAGTGGTGCCTTGCTTAACGACGATAATCTGTTCCAGGAAAATCACCGTTAAGCAAAAACATCGTAAAGCAAAAATAAAAACCCCATTGAAACGCATTGAAACCTGTTCAGTGCGTTCCAGTGGGGTAAAAACTCACCGTCCAGTGAAGCTCCTCCATACGGCGGCCATTTTCGCTGCCTGTATAGCGAGGAATCCGTCCCTAAACACAGCGGGAAGCCATTTTGAAACCGCCGATCAGCTGTTAAAAAAACATCGTTTTGCAAAGAATTGGTTCCCGAAGCAGGGAACCGATCATCACAAAGCAAAATTCCCCCAGTTAGACCATCGTTTTTCGATCGCAAAAACATCGCCATAAAGCCAGTTTGTCGTAATGCGGGGCAATCGTTAAGCGAGGCACCACTGTATTGTATTTCTCTATCCCATCACCTCCTGGGAAACAGAAGAGGAAGATATAGAGGCAGTGTCAGATTTTATCTTCCTGGGCTCCATGATCACTGCAGATGGAGACAGCAGCCACGAAATTAAAAGACACCTGCTTCCTGGGAGGAAACCGATGACAAATCTTGACAGCATCTTAAAAAGCAGAGACATCACCTTGCCAATGAAAGTCCGAATAGTCATAGCTATGTTTTTTCCTGTCGTGATGTATGGAAGAGAGAGCTGGACCATAAAGAAAGCAGACCACCGAAGAATTGATGCCTTTGAATTGTGGTGCTGGAGGAGGCTCTTGAGAATGCCCTGGACTGCAAGGAGAACAAACCTATCAATTCTAAAGGAAATCAACCCTGAGTGCTCACTGGAAGGACAGATCCTGAAGCTGAGGCTCCAGTACTTTGGCCATCTCATGAGAAGAGAAGACTCCTTGGAAAAAACTTTGATGTTAGGAAAATGCGACGGCAAGAGGAGAAGGGGATGACAGAGGATGAGATGGCTGGACAGTGTCTGCGAAGCAACCAACATGAATTTGACACAACTCCGGGAGGCAGTGGAAGATAGGAGCGCCTGGCGTGCTCTGGTCCATGGGGTCACGAAGAGTCGGACATGACTAAATGACTAAACGAAACGATGGCAAAGACAGGAGAGGAGAAGATACTGCAAAGTGCCTGTTGTTTAGAGAACAGGGCTAGTATTTCTTCAGCGTAGATAAGAAGGAACCACAGGAAGGTCTGCTCTTTTCAGCCCAGTTGGTGAGGGGATGGCAGTCTCATACAAAATGAGGTCAAGAGTTGTTAAATGCATCTTCCTGTACCCTCCCCCAAACTTGGAAAGTGCATAATTAACTAATTCAAGATGCTCCAGCCAATCAAGTTCACTCATGTGAGAAAAAATAAATGGTGTTATTTTGTTGTTAAAGGTAGGGTCTAGAACTCTTGGGATTGCTTTGTTATAGACATTGAAACTAACTTAACGATTTCTTATTAATAGGTGTTTTTACAGGCTACAACACTTTAAGTATGGCTTTAGTCCTACCAGAGGATGGCAGAATTGTTGCCTGTGATGTCAGTGAAGAGTATGTCAATATTGGGAAGCCTCTCTGGAAAGAGGTAATTTGAGGTCAGCTGGTACTTCCCAGAACTAAGAATGGGAGCTAAGCTGCATGTGATATAGGAGGTCACATATGTGCACCATCTAACTTCGATTGGGTGTTTGTTTAAAGTTGAAGGAACTACATGCTTGATTGGAAGAGTTATGCTGGTACTGGTGGGGGGGGGAGAATTCAGCACAGTTTTGCTTACACAACGTAAAAACAGTGTTGTTGTTTTTAGAAAAACAATACAAACATATGATGGAATTTTCCTGCATATACAGATAATGCTGATTATGCAGCCTAGTGATGCAGGTTACTTTGTCCACGACCACACTATTGCTTGCTAGTGTGTGCATGTGGTACCTCTTGCACAACTGGAGAATTTAGCCAAACTCTATTAGCGCACTGTCTTCCCCTACCAGTTTTACGTTGGATTTATTCTTAGTGCTTCTGTTGCAGGCTTAATGCCTACATCTGCCAAAATTAAGTACTAACACTACCCTGACAACAGGAGTAATCAAAAGGGTTTCTGTAGAGAGGCAGAATTTTGTCCAGCTTCTAATCTCAAAGCACTTTGCCATCTTTCCCCTTGGGGTGCCTTTGATAATGTTTCCTCTCCTTTCAGGCAGGAGTAGATCATAAAATTGACCTAAGGATAAAACCAGCCATCCAAACTTTGGGTACGTACACATGGATCAAAACTACAAAATGTAAAGATTAAAACTAACTGGTAATATGTAAGAAGAAAAGTAGGAACAATAACAGACTAGCTTCACAGGTCCAGTAGTGAGGTGGGAAGCAGAGGCTTACTCACAAAACCACAACTACTGCTGTTTCCTCTTTTTTGTGGGCTGTGTGAATATTCACATCTTTGTACAGTGGTGCCTTGCTTGACGACGTTAATTTGTTCCAGCAAAATCACTGTAGAGTGAAATTGTCAAACGAAATTAAAAAACCCATTGAAACGCATTAAATCCGTTCAGTGCGTTCCAATGGGCTGAATACCTGCTCGTCCAGTGAAGATCCTCCATGCGGCGGCCATTTTTTGGTGCCTGTAATGCGAGGAATGCGTTCCTAACACAGCGGGGAGCCATTTTCTTCGGCCGGCGGCCATTTTGAAACCCAACAATCAGCTGTTTGCTGATCGTCATAAAGCGAAAAATCGGTTCCCGAAGCAGGGAACCGATCATTGCTAAGCGAAAAAACCCCATCTAAACACTGTGACACCCCATCTAAACTTCAGCGTTAAGTGGATTTGTTGTAGAGCGGGGTAATCATCCAGCGGGGCATGACTGTAAATGGCACCTGCACGATATTCTGAGAGATTAGTGGAAGTTACTGGGCAGAGTTTTCTAATTTTACTGAAAAGCTTAGCTCCTCTTTGAGGTCCTAGAAAAGCTTTGGATGAGCAGAAGACCTCAACGCTTGGCTGTGATTGAGCACCAGCTGTTCTTTATACAACAGCCCCAAGCTGTGTAGGAGAGTCTGGAAGTTCTAAGTCCAACTTAGGAGGCAAAGTGGCTTCATTTCTACATGTAAAATGATATTTCTCTTATGTTTAGATGAACTTCTAGCAAATGGTGAAGCTGAAACCTTTGATTTTGCTTTCATCGATGCTGACAAAGAGAGTTACAATGATTACTATGAAAAATGTTTACGCCTCATAAGAAAAGGGGGAATAATAGCTATTGACAATGTAAGTACTGCAGGAAGAAATAGAAAAGGTCTCATGGCTCCTTAGCATTTAACAAATTTATTGGTCTAATAACCCTTTCTTCTCTGAGCATGAAGTTATCTACAGTTAGCAAATACATACACACACATAACACATGCATAGAAAAATAGTTAAAATTGACAGGGGCAAAGGCCCAGAAAAATGAGGCAGCTCCTTCACTTCATGGCCCTTTTCACTCAACTGTTTACATAGTATCAGCCAAGGGCAATATTTCTATCTCATAAAGCAAAGGTCAGTCTGTGAAGGCCACAAATTGGTTTAATTTCTTGTGGCAAACATTGCAGGTAGAGAACTAAAGATTGACTCAGAAAGCATACTTTAGATCTGGTAGAACACAGGCAAACTTCTAATTTTAAGATTCCAGTTCTATCTGCATATGATTATAGTTGCAATAAAAAGTGAGTGTGGTGTCCGTCTGTTCCTTTGTTTTTCTGTTACCCACCTCTTTCTTTCCCTCTGTTAGGTTTTGTGGTCGGGGAAGGTACTTAAACCAGCAAGTCATGATATTGCCCAGATGATGCATCAGTTGAATGAAAAGATATTCCATGATCCGCGTGTGGTCGTAAGCATGATCATGATGTGGGATGGCCTGACATTGGCATTCAAGCTCTAATGGAGGAGGAGGAGAAAGAGGAGGAGGGTGGCTTTGAAGAAGCAAGTAGGCTGAGCCCTGAAAACCTCTTCACATATTGGGAATGAATAGGAAGCATACAATTATGTGTATTTTGATCTTGTCTCAGCAAAATATTTCAGGCTTCAAATAGTAATATAAACAAAGAGGAGGTCACTCCAATTATTTTCTTATCTGCTACAGCGATGGCTAACAATCATGGACAGAATTATGAAGAAATTGCCTTGTATGTTTTCAAGATAAAATGGAGGCTGTTTTTTCACAGAGAGTGTGAACGTTTGTTTTTCTTAACTAAGTAGTCTGTTTTTCTGATTTACCTAGTGAAGTATATTTGTGTTTTTACATGAGTGCAAGAGGAAGGAATGGGATATGAACTAATCTGGACAGTAGAGGCAAAGGGGTGCAATATTATAACCCATACAAGCTGGTTTGCTTTACTGATTTGTAACATTTAAAGTGTTAAAGATCAGAAGAAGGGCAGGATCTGTTCTCAGTAATCCCACAGTGTGTAGGACTTGGAATTATAGACTAAAATTACAGGAAGTCAGATTTTGGCTGACTATCAGGAAAAACCTCCTATGTAACTGTTAGAGCAGTACAACAATGGAACCAATTACCTTGAGAGATGGTGAGCACTCCAAAACTGGAGGCATTCAAGAGAAAATGAGGCAACCATCTGTCAGATATATTTTAACTTGTATTCCTGCATTAACCAGAGACTTGGACTGTAAGAACTTTTAGGCCCCCTCCAACTCCATGATTCTGTGATTTACATCCTGGTTTTTCTCCAGTGATTTCAGGGCAGATTTCCCTCTTTCTACATTACCTTCATAGCAGCCTTGTGAGATAGACCATATTAAAACAGTGTGGCATGGCTAAAATCACCCAGTCAGTAGATCTCAAGTCCCCATTTAACAAGGTAACTTTTGCACCACACTACCTTTAAATTGGCTCCTTTTCAGACAGTCCATTGGGCAAAATCTGTTGCCATTGTTCCACTGATGTAAATTGGATCAAAGCCCTCAAAATAATAAATTTAAATTAATTGAAAGCTTCTTATCCCTGGGGAAGCATTTGGAATCCTCAGGTCAGTGGGCAGGAGCTTTTATAAATTTTTTTAAAAGCCATAGCCAAATAAATCCCTGCCAATAGTCCTGATCCCAGTAGCTGCAATGCAGCAGAGAATATTTGAGTGGCAGCAGAGAAATTCAAATGTAGTGAGGGCTGCAAAGCAGGAGAGTGGCATGTGAGTGCCATTAATCTCTAGGGGCACACATTGATTCAGCTGTTGCTGTACATTTTTCTAATGTATTGATATACTTCATTGTACAGTGGTGCCTCGCTTAACGGCGATAATCCGTTCCAGGAAAATCACCGGTAAGCGAAAACATTGTAAAGCTAAAATAAAAACCCCACTGAAACGCATTGAAACCTGTTCAATGCATTCCAATGGGCTTAAAACTCATCGTCCAGTGAAGATCCTCCATATGGCGGCCATTTTTGCTGCCTGTATAGTGAGGAATCCATCCCTAAACACAGCGGGGAGCCATTTTAGTTACCCAGCGGCCATTTTGAAACCGCCGATCAGCTGTTTAAAAATCATTGTTTTGCGAAGAATCGGTTCC